CAGTTGGGAAGACAGCTCAGATAGCCCAACTTTTCCAGAACTGCCACCCAGTTTTCTCAGTTCTTGGTTTGTTTGGGGTTTTGTTTTTTGATTGGTTGGTTGTTTTTTTTAATTCCCTTTCCCTCTATAATGCTTCTCCCTCTCCATGCCCCCAGTGGATGTTTTTCTTTGATCTGAAAATATGCTTGAGAAGGCTGCAGTCCTAGTTCCAGGTCCCCACTTGCCTCTGTCATTAAGTGTGCAGTTGATAGCTTTGCTGACTGCTTCATTGTCTGCACAACTCTCCCAATGTAGTAGTAGGTGAACTTCTGGGTTGGCAAATCCAGGAGGCAGGGAGTGAAGGGTGGGTTTTGCAGTAAAGACACACTTCTGCTGGGACACTGTGGGTTATCGTTGTTTCCATGTCTTGTAACAGGGTATCAGACTGTATGTGCTGCCTGGAGGATGAAGTGAGATTAGACTATGAACGCACCATGAACAGGATCAGCTTTGACAGAATCGTCACGTACAAACCTCAGACGTTTTCTTATGTCACCCTGCCAGACAAAGAGGAGAAAAAGGTACCAGAGAAAGGTACGGAGCACAGTGAAGCAGTTTGCACTCAGCTTGGTTATAGGACCTCTAGTCTTTCACAGAATTCTTGCTTTGCTGCAGAAACTTTCAGGTTCTTGTTAATGATTAGGACTCATAAGGGGCAGCAGCAGGAGATTATATGAAGCTTTTGAGTACATGTGCTCTTTTCTAGGGTGTATTTGCATGTTCATGTTACCGCAGTATAACACATTACCATTCATCAGCTAAGCTGCAGTAACTCTGCAAGTGTACCCTTAATGGCACCAAATGCATGGTAGTGTAATTAGATTAACTGCCTTCTGCTCAGTGCTGGGACTAGCTACCACCTTCTGTTTGCTGTGCTCAGCTGTGGTGTACCTCAGGTGTGAAAGAGGGCTCAGGCTCTTTAAGAGTCTTGGACTGGAGGAAAATGACTACAGTAAAGAGGGGGGGGTGGTATTTTCGTAGAGTCATAGAATCATTAAGGTTGGAAAAGACCCTTAAGATCATTGAGTCCAACCATATACCTAACACTGTCAGGTCCACCACTAAGCCATGTCCCTGAGCGCCATATCTACATGTCTTTTAAATATCTCCAGGGATAGTGACTTCACCACTTTCCTGGGCAGCCTGTTCCAGTGCTTGATAACCCTTTGTGCACTTCGATCTTCCAAAGGTTGGAGCACCTTGAGGTGGTTCACAAGTGGCCTCTCACAAATGGGTGATGTCATCTCACAGATGACTCATCTGTGCCTTGAAACCTCGGTGGGAAGATTCCTCAAGTGCAGTGTTCTTCCTCATGGAAACTTCATGAGCCAAAGCCTCAGGAACATCAGGGACTGAGACAACCCCTCAGCCCCTGATGGGAGGATGCAGAAAGTCTCTTTCATCTGGCTGGCTGTTGAGACTGCTACATGATAAGGCCTGTGCACTGGAGGAGAGTCTTTTTCACAAGTTCTGTCCCAGAAAGGAGCTTCACTCTTTCTCAAAACAGAAGCTGGGATGGCTATTGCAGGCAGTAACATGTTCCTTTTTTGATACCAGGGCTCATCTGGATCCCAGACAGTTCTTTTGATGAACAGCAAGCAGCTTTCAACTTTGTCTCACTCCTGACAAAGCCAGAAGTCATCCGTCACAGGTGCAAGATGAGTGCAGCAAGGCAGCCACCATGTCTCTGTTTAACTCAACCTTAGCCAAGCTTGTCTGCTTGGAGGAGTTTGAACAGATCCAGATCCAGGCCTTCACTCAGGTGAGTGAAGGAAGCATGGAGGGTGAATGCATGGAGCAGCCAGCAGGGCTCTCAGTGTGTATTAGACAGATGCAGCAGCTGCTGATCGACTCTCTGGAAACACACAAGCTGTCAAAGGAGATGTTGTGGGTGGGGCAGGGAGGAACTTGCATGCACATGTCAGTTTTATTAGGATGTGGGGAGAATGAGCTGAAAGAGACATAGCCCCCTAGTCAGCGTCAGCCGATGCTAACCATGCTTTTAGTCATATGTTGAACAAGTGGCAACAAAGGGCTACAACCCCTCTTTCCTCCTCTTGGACTCCATGCAGATAAAGTCTTGGTTGGCACTCAAAACTTTCCTTTTTTGTTTGTTTGTTTTTATTTCTCCATTCTCTCAGCTGCAAGGCACAAGAACTTTCATTCCTCCTGAAGCACTCATGGGGGTAATGCTTTTCTACACTTTATGTACTTAATTAGATTACTCTGCTTGCAATGCCAGCAGGCAGACTAGGACAAAAGTTTGCAGCTCTGTGGTAACTCTCACCAGAAGCTTTTTATGCCCTCTAAATGAAGGCAGCACATTGCACCCTGGATGTGGCTACATGGAGTAGCTTGCACAGGGTTACTCGGTAAATCAGTGGCAGAGGACATGTGCTGTTCCTTCCCAGTCCGGTGCCATTTCAGCTAGGCAGTGCTGTCATCCACTCAGTGACCGAGGTTGTTTTATTTCACACAAACAGCAGCTGCCTGTGGAGCAGAAGTGACACTTCGTGGTATTTTAATAAATTAAAACACTGCAGACTGCTGCTGCCCTTGGCTTCTTCCCCTCTTTCTCCTTGCTTGTCAAGAGAAGACAACATTCTGTCCTTTACTTGCTCATCATTCTGTCTGCACAACTTTTTATGAGGGACCCTGACACAGACAGCTCCAGGGATACTGCTCTACAGAAAAAAGAATGAAAAGGAAACACAATGTATAAAAAGAAAGAATAGGGCACTTACTTTTTAATACCAGGCTTTCTTTTTGTAAGTCTTTTGTCAGTGAAGGAGCTGGTATGACCAGATTCCACGTGTGCATGCATGGATTTGAGAGCTACTGTTTAGCTGCCACAGCTCTGAGAGAACAGTGACCTTTCAGAGCAGAGAAAGGTCCAGCAGTCCCTGTCAGCAGCTCACCTTGCCATACTGCTTCCTCATCAGCCCTTGGAGGATTACACAGCTTGCTTTGTTTCTTTGCCCTATGTTCATATGTTTCTCAAGGATACTTGGATCAATACTCTAAAGAATGCAGTAAAGGACAGCCTAAGAGATGCAGACAAAGGCTGGTACAACCTGGAACAGAGCCACTGGGTTGTCTACCAGACGTGCAAACTGCGTAAGCTGATGAAGTGCATCAAATTCATCCTTCAGGACTCTGCACGCGCTCTAGTCCAGAACTCACTGATCAGCTTCACCCAGCTTTTGCTGGATGCCTGTCATGGTATCCTGAATTGCTCAGAGGACATGGAATGGGGAGATGACCTCATCAATAGTCCCTACAGGTAGGGGAGGGAAATGAAAAAGGGGTGGAAAGAGCAGAAAAGTGTAGTGCTATTGTCTGTCTAACTACTGACTTAGCAAACCAGCTTTGCACTGTGTGGGAGCTTTAGGCTGGGCCGTTCCCTCCCAGTTCTTCACCCAACACATTTACTTAGGTCTGGAGGAATGGCACAGAACTGGCTGCCTTGTTAGTACAGGTTGCAAGTTGCTCTTAGCCCATCAGAACAAAGGTCTGTTACTTTGACATACTAAAGATTAGCCTCTTCCAGCATTCCTGGGAGAGCAAATAATTACTACTGGAATTTTTCTGAAGGCCAGGAAGAAGAATACCAGGAGGCATGGCTGCTTACTTCCATTCTTGGATTAAACCTAAGGAGCAGGATCTGGCCTGGGATCTTTAAAGAATACCAAATCTGGGTTGTCACAGTGCCAAGAATTTTCTTCTGTTGGATATTGATTTGAGCATTTCTGTCCTTCATGGTATTAAAAAAGGAAGGTTTAGAATTGAAAACAGGAGGAAAAGAAAAAAGAAAAACCTGCCATTCACATGAGACCTTTTATCTTGAAACCAGTGGAAGTCTTGACATTGACTTTAGCTGATCCTGAGCCATGCTGATAACATACAAGACTGGGAGATACTGAATATAACTTCCAAAAGGTGCCTTTTAGTATTATATTGGAAATGCTGAATGCCTGGTTTGAAGAGCAGCTGCAGTTTTCTCTAAAGCAGCTCCAGTTCTCAGCATAAGGTTATGACTTTTGGGGATCCTGGTATGTCATGATTGACTCTTCCTTAGTCTTTGATAGACCAGAGTTCTCAATGTCTTTATTGGTAAATTCAGAATGCAGTGTTTCATGCTTTCATCTGTATGGAACAGTCCTCCTTTCCTCTGCTTTCCTTTCTGGTCCAGTAGGCATGGTAATATCAGCACCAGAGCAATATGGTTGTGTGCCGTTGTCTCAAAAAGCATCCCTGTTAATCTCTTCCCACTGCAGGCCTCAAAGGAATCCGCTCTTTCTAACAGACCTTGTGCTAGACAGCAGCGGCGTTCACTCCAGCCCCCTTGTGGAGAGCTTTGAGAAGTCCCTCATTTCTCTGTTCGACAAGGGAATCCTGGTGACTCAAACTGTCCCGCAGCTGGAGAAGGTGAACTCTGCTGCATCAACAGTGGTACAGCTGTGCAAGCCTCAGTGCACTGCAGCTTGGCATAGGCACCCCTGAGCTTGTACTGAGGGAGAGAGTTGCAGAACTAGGTAGTTGGTAGTTAAATTAATTTGGACACAGTACTGTGCAAATGCAGTTCTATTCTGACAGGATTTCTTCAAGCTCCCCAGGCCTGTAGCTATTTTATCTAGTTGCTTTCTCTGCTTTGGTGCTGCAGGTTCTGTGGAGACATTTCCTAAGAAGCTGTGTTGCCCTAAGTGCATGGCAGCTGGTAAAACAGACTCGTAAAGGAAGCAGCACCTTTTCCAGAGCTGTCAGCCTGGCGTAGGTCTCTTCTGTGTATGCACCCTTCTGCCTGTTACTGTGAACGACCTGTCTCCCTAGATCTTCCTTTGAGGGAGCAATGTAAAACTGATAAAACAATTCCTGACACAGTGTAGGATGGACTGCATGGCTTCCCAAAGGAGCCACTAGTGATTGTCTCACCTCCTTCCTGAGGAGGCATGGTTAACTCTGCTAGTCCTGAAAGACTCCTCTCCTTCCTCGTCCAGTATGTGCTGGAAAACGTACTTACCACAGGCACACCCTTGCTGGATTCAATGGGCTTGCACAAACCAGAAGTGGAAGAACTGCATGAAGCTATGCATTCTGCCATTCAAAAGGCACTGATCCCTCTCCAAGCCTATGCCAAGAGATATGAGAAGTTCTCAGAGCTAAATAACAATGACATCCAGTACTGTCTAAGGTAAGTGGCTCAGACGAAGGCACCTCTAACCCAAATGGCAAGCCGTTTCAGAAGCTGTTGTGTGGATGTGTGTGAGAATGCAGGACCTGCTCTGAGACCACAAATGTGTCTGACGTGCTTCAGATGTGAGATCAGGCATCTGTCAGAGGGAGCCTTTTAGAGGACATTGGTGGTGGCAGTGAGAATTTCTTCCTGCCTCTGACAGCAGTCACATTCCTGTCATGTTTGTAAATGTAATTGGAGATATTAATGGCCCTAAAAATGACTCATCCTGTTTGAAAATCCAGTTACCATGCTTGACACTGACCTCCTTCAAATAACGTCTGTTTAGGCTGATAACATTCTGTAGAAAGTACTGTTTTCTTTAGTTTCTGCCTCATTGTTTTCACTGCCAAAACTCTTTGCACCTGTCCTTTAGCCTCTGTTACTTTAATGGTCGTCTTTTTACATCTCCTGTTTTCTCCAAACAGTGCGAATGAAGTCCTTTTTCTCTTCTGTTGTTTCAGCTTAATCAATTTACAAATCCCATCTGACAAATTCCTGTCTCTTTCCAGAACACACTGAAGTGCCTACTTTCCCTCAAGGTACCTCCTGATCTTGCCCTGTTTACACTAGTGCTTTCATTTTGTCTCCCTCTCCTCTTGCCTTATTACCTCTTTCACCTCTTTCTTTCACACCTTTTCAGCAGCTGAAATACTTTGTGCTTTTATTCCACTCCACACCTATTGTGCTCTAAAACCCACTGTAGATTTGAGTCTGTCCCTTCCTTTGCTCCCCACTAATGTTCCTCAGCTGCATACCAGTTCCATGTCTTCTCGTATACACATCCTCTGAAACTGGGACATGTCTACACCACTACGTGGGCGTAGCTGCAGTATGCAGGTAGGCATAGGCAGCCTGTCTTCCTCTGCTTCACATTGGTAACCATAGCAGTGAAGACACTGAAGCAGAGCCGTCAGTGCGAGGTGGTCACCCAAACAGATGAACTTTGCATGGGATGTCTTTGCTACTGTAGCTTCCCATGCTCAGTTAAAGCTAGCACTCGTGTACTTGTTTGTGTTACAAACACTCCTCACTTCCTGTGTAGGCATATCTTTGGTTGTAAGGTCTAGAAGGCATTGGTACACTCTCAGTCTGTGCTTGCAGAAAGTTGTGCACATATAAATAGATGCATGCTTTATTAATAGTAAATATACTCAATTTAATGTCTTGGTCCTTTAGATGGACGCTTCTGGACATCCTACAAACAGCCTGGATGCTCAGATAATATTAAGGTCTATGTTACCTTGTTCTGTTTGTTGATGTTTTTACTTACAGAGACTATGAAGAGCAGTGTCCCTCTGCCCAGGAGGTGATGAGTATAGTAAACACATACTTGTCTGAAAAGGAGAACCTGGACAACACTCTACCTAGTTCTGTTGTCTTTGGTCCCTTCCATGTCAATGTAGAGGATGTTAAGCAAAATCTGTCCACAAAATATAAAGCACTTGCCACTTCCACATTGGACATACTAGCTAAAACCCTCCATTTGCAAGTGGAGAATGTAAGTTACCTGGTTCAATAGATTATCTGTCAGTGTCTTGTCTAGTCCTTCTGCTTTTGAAGTTGCTGTGTTTATGAGATGGCCAAAAGACACCAACTGAGGTCATATTAATGAGGACATTTTAAAGATTGCATTGGAGTGATTATTTTAAAAAAATCTAGAGGGGAGATATGCAGACTCAACCAAAACAAGTATTAAATATACATAATAAATTATGTGCCTGAAAGCTGTATCTGTTGAGATGAAATTCTTCAAGACCCTGCCATCTTATAACAATGTGTTGGTGGATTGAAAAGATCTGCCTACCAGACGACTGGAAGGTCCTTCTGCTTGTTCTGAGGACAGCTGGAATATAGGCAATAGCTTCTGCCAGAGGGTTGTCTGAATCTGTTATTGTCATCATTTCAACTACAGACCTGCAGTTCCTCTTCTTCTTTTTTTGGCGGTCTCATTCCATTTGAGCTCAGATGAGATGGAGGGAGAAAGTCTGTGGAAAGAAAATGATGGAACAGGAGTGTGTACTCATCACCTTAGACCACCTTCAGAATAGGAAGTGGGTGGATCATGGAAGGTTTTCCAGTTTGCCCATTAGCAATTAATTACTTTCTGATGGTCTTTTCTCTGCTGTGTCCTCCTGTAGATCTGTGATGCAGATAAAGCTGTCAGCTGCAAAATGCATGGGAAACCAAACAGCATTGAGGAGCTGGCTGAACTTCGGGAGTGGATGAAGGGAGTCCCTGAGCAGCTGGCTGTGCGGGAGGTAGGGCATGTTCTTCTTATGGACAGGGGACACCAAGGGACGTGAGGAGGAAATTTGTTAATGGAATGTGTGGTGTCTCAGAAGGAGAACTCCATTTTTTTTGTTTGGATGTCTTTGCATGCAATGCCATAAGATTCCTAGCTTTGTATTTTTCTAATTCCTAAGATTTGTGTTTTTAAATACACATATAATGAATTTAAATATCTATGCAAAACAAAATAGCAGTTTAAAAACTTGCCTAAAAGACTTATGTACGCTTCTTGCTACCTTCATAATCCATTCTGCATTTGTGTACTGAATAGCTGCCTTCTAAAAATGAATGTTGTTTTCAAGAAAATTTTTCTGCTACCAAATGCTCACATTGCTGTTAACATATTTTTTCTTATAGGACTTTCTAGCACTGAGTTATTTCAAATTTATTTGAAGTGTAGGTAGACTTTTTCCCAGATGAACAAATGGGGAACAAAGGCATCAAGCTGTAAGCTGACTTGTCCATTCCAAAGGAAGAACCTGGAGGATAACCCAAAACACTCCATTTCTTTCCAGCACTTTATCCACTAGGTCATGCTTCTTTTCATTTATACAGAACAGAGGGTGATGATGGTGTGAGCATTTGCAGAACAAGGGGCTGTAAATCCATTCCTACTGTTCACACAGCAGAGGAGCAGCCTACATCACATTAAGCTTGTGTGACTAACGCCCTTCAAAGGCACCTCATGAAAATGAGGTATACACCAGAGAGCTGGAATCAGTATGGTCTAAAGGTGTCTATTTTTTGTCTCTTTCTCTCACCCTGTGCAGGAACTGATTTGTGGAGTCATGGAAGATTACAAGGTCGTGGAGGAATTCCTTTACAATCTTACTGAAGAAGATTTCAATGACAAGTGAGCACAAGGCATTTCTCCCACTGTCAAAGTGGGATGCTTTGCAGCAATTACCTTTCTCAGTGCTTGAGGGGCTGTGTCTGTCAAGACAAGGCTGTCTGTCTGTTCCAGCAGAACCTTCAAGTGCCTCTCAGGCTATATGAGCACTGAATTATTGTAATGAAGTTTATGGAGAAGAAGTGTGAGTTCATGCTGCCTTCTGGCCTGGGGCAAGGCAAACTGGTAGCTATTAACCTGTATTAACACTCTTTTCTCTTGGGGTTTTTTTTGAGACATTTGCAAGGTCTCAAAATGCAGTTTAATCTGTGTCTGAAACTGAATGAACACTTCCAAGGTAGGAATACTCCCAGGGTTTTCTTAGGACTAGGAAGGAACATGAATCTTGTATTATTACTGCATTTCTTTTTCATGCAGTCTCCTGTTAGTTTTATCTTTGGCAATATCATTCAGATTGGGGCCTGTCTACACACTGGTAGCAGAGTCAGCCCACAAACACAGCTACACAGCTTCTAAAGTCAGCCTAGCCTCGGAAGCACCTCTCCTGTGACATGGACTTGGTCTAGTTTGTCTGCAACCCGAGTGAGTCTCTGCAGAGTGCTCCTGAAACTGGAAACGTGGGATGGACAGTGCAAAAAAACTACAGAAGCTGCAGGAAAGCAGCTCAGCTCTAGGACAGCTTAGCACAGATGTAGCTGTGTGCCCATGGCCAGATCTCGCTCATGCAGAACTTGTAGGAGATTGCTGCATCCCCAGGCACTGGGAGGGGTATGATCTCAAGCGTAATGCTGCAAAGCTTGCATCTGGCTTTGCGCACAAGCTAGCAAGTCTGAATGGAGTAACAGGTGGGCTATGGCTGAGTAAGAACCAAGAAACGTGCCTTGGCCTGAGCAGCCACTTTGTGCCACCTTTCCTCTATCGCTTGGCACTCCCCAGGGCGCTCTGCAGAAGCCTTGCTATCCTGGGCTTCGCTATGGCTGCGTTACCCTGGCCGCTCACTGCCCTGCTTAGCAGGAGACTGGCCTTTTCAGTAGCCCTGAAAGGCCGCAAGCCAAGACTCTGACCCTATTTTTTTCAGTTCCTTGTTAGTACATTCAAAGACAGACATTCCCTCTGGATGCCAACTGTTATTTTGCTGTCTCCTAGCTTTTCAGCAACGTACTGGATTTGTTCCTTTTAAAAAGGCCCTCCGCTTCTCCCCAGCCCTCTCCATTTGAATAGCCTAGTCACAAGGACTGCATATCAACAAGAAAAGCTGGGGAAAAAATGTTTTGTTGAAACCACATTTCTGTTGTTGTAAAGCTCCCTTGTTTGGTGGGAGTTGGCTTTCTCATTCTGTTATTTTCAGCATTTCAAATGTATGCTCAAAAAGCTGCTTCTCCCTCTCTTTCTCCTTTTTTTCCCTTTTTTCCCCTGGTTTGTTTGTTTTGTTATATCATGTGAGTGCAGGTGGGCTGTGAGTTTTTGGCCACTGAAAATAACTATGCAAACTGAGTCCATTCAGCTCCAGCACCTGCAGGATGAATCAAAATTTCGAAAACTTCAGATCGTGGATCAGAATGGCTTTCAACACAAACTGGAGGAGATGCAGGTATTAAGCCCCTGACCATAAGCTGTTCAGAGAAGGGGGCCTTGAAGCTCTTGTGGCCAGCCAGGTGGGAAACTTTCAGATGAGATTTTAGTCAGATGAGTTTTTAGGTCTATGTATTGGAGGACCAAAAATTACCACACACATTCCCCTCCCATTTTCTTAATGGCTCTTGATTAAGAGTTTTGTTTTTGTGTTAAAGACAATACTCTGCAGAAATACTGATTTTTCACTGAGAAAGTGTTCATTGAGACACAATATTCTGATTCTTTGTGCTTGGGCAACACATGCAGCTCCTTTTTATTTCTTGTGCACTCAGTTCCCTGCAGAGCTTCTCCAATGGTGCCCTGCAATCAAGGGGGGAAAAGTACAGCATTCAATCATGGAACTCATCTCATGTGAAACCCTCTGGAACAATAGCAGAGTTTTGGAGCTGAGTTACCTCTGTTTTCTGCTGAAACAGTTTGAATGCTGTTTTTCACCAGAAACTCTTAAATGGAGAAAAAGCATGCCATTTTGGAAAAGCTGTGATCGGTGACCTAGATTATCTTGGAAATAGCCTCCCAAAATGCTAATAAAACAAGCAAACAAACAAACAACGCCCCCCCCCAAACAAACAAAACAAAACCACCAAAACAAAACAGAAAAGTCACTAGAGAAGCTCTGGATGTGTGTTGTTAAACAATTCTGGGAAACAGAGAGACCTATTAGAGCTGTCATTTTCACTTCCTCAGTTCTATAACCCATGACAGTATAAATTCAGTAGCAAGAAGTCTGGGCACAGATTTATTGCTCCTAGTCCTTAGGGGTTCACTATTCTCACAAAGATAAAAAGCAGCTGCTTATCATATTTACACTTTTAACCACCAGACCAGTGGTTATTGCTGCTTCTCACCACTTTCATCGTGGTATAAACAGAAGTGGAATGGGATGGGGAGAAGTGAAATTGTGAAGATAAAAACCTTGCCTTTGAATGTAACAAAGAGCACACCAGGAAGCCGAGATTTCCAGAGGCAGCGCTGAGCTTCAGATCCACACCTCATGCCTGCTTTTTCTCTTCCAGCTGACAGGAGGTGGATTTTCCATCCTGACAGATGTTAACCAAGCTCCTGAGTTGGCTGACAAAGCAAGGGAGGTCAGGAAGCAGCTGAAGGAGCTTCAGAATTTGGCAGCTCTTTACAACAGGGAAAGAATCTTTGGGATGAAAGTTACTAATGTAAGTGTCAGGTCCTGCCAGGACCCTAATCTCTGTTGGGCCTTCTAGGTGGTAAGCAGAGCAAATAATGAAACACAGTTCCTCAGGAAGGAATCCTTCATGCTCTTTGGGTTTGATGGTCTGCTCCGCAGCCCTGTAGAGTGACCACACTGCTCCATCCCTCCACTGTGCTGCAGAAGAGCTGACCCCAGGCAAATGTGGAAGGCTGTTCAGAGGCCTGATATTGGCACTTCTGTGGCAGACTTTGGGTGTCCACACTCAGATCTGAGTGCAGTTAATGAGGAGGAATTGGATGGCAGGGGTCTTGAAGCAGCAGTTAAAATATCTCAATCTCTGTAAGGCTGTTGCTGCAGTTACATACACGTGAATGACAATGGTTGTATAGTAGTGTGCAGGTAGCTGGCTGGGCTCAGATCGTAGCATGTTTTCCCAAGGCAACAGTTTATATGGTCACAAACACTCATTTTGCCTGTAGCTGTTCAGCTGCCGATGAATCATTGTCATCCACATCCAGCCTAGTCTGGCTGCAGAGCAGAAGTAGAGTTCACATGATGCTTTCCTACCTCTCAGTCTGTGGTTACTTCTCCTTCACTGTAGGGAGCCAAGTTTCAATATGATGTGCAGCATGTGCTTTCACTGAGTGTGTGTGGCCCTGCCATAAAAATCTCCTTATTCTGCAACAGAGCATTTGTAGAGGCAAGCTGAGAAAGTGCTTTCCATGCTAGACACATGATGCAGGCACAGCTCCACTGGATGCATTTTGGCTTAAGTGTGTAAAGCCCAGCTCTGCTAGTTTTGTTCCCTTGGAATCTATATTGTGGTCCAGGAGAAGATAGTCTGATACATCCTCTTGAAGTACACGTTTTCTCCTTAAGATTCAAAAAAGAATTGTGCCCTTTTTGGCCTTTTGACATGCAAGCTGTCATCCAGAGAAAAATCCAGAGAACTTGGTGCTTATGCTTGCTTTTTCTCTTTTTCCAAAGGACAGTAATGTATCCAGGATGGTTAAGGACTTCCAGCCATACTACGAACCGTGGACTACAGTATCAGGCTGGATGCAGTGGTATGAGAGCTGGATGAATGATCCTCTCATGGAACTTGAGACTGATCAGCTAGAAAAGAATGTCAGTGGCTCTTTTAAGACAGTGCAGAGATGTGTGAAGCAGTTCAAGGATTCAGCAGGTAGATCAGCAGTCTGGGGAAAGGAAGGTGGTGCGTATCAGCATTTTGATGTGCGGCACGTCACAGAGTGCTCCGAACGGGGATTGTCAGGATGTTACGTGGATGTGTTATGTGTCGCAGAGCCAGCTGAGAAAATGCTAGCAAAGTTATTTTTCACTTTTTTTCTGGAACTGTAATGATTCACATCTAGATGCTAGTTTGCTGCTTGAAGTACCAGTTTGGTATGGAAACCACCAGGCTGCAAATCCCCTTTCTGCCTAATTCCCAAGACAGTACTGAAATAAAAGCCACCCTCTTACATTGCAGTTAATATTCACTCATTTATATAAAGTAAAATAATCCAGACTAGTCATAGAGTATTACTGGATCGCCCAGTGACTAGACATGTGAGTTTAAGCCCTTATGCAAGTCAGGCAGCAAAGGAACCTGAATGTGTGTCTTCCAGGTGCTATTTTCTTGGCTAATCTTATTTTCTCTATTGGCAAATGAATTTAATGGAAAGCTGGGAGATATCTTGATTTTGTTATGAATAAAATAAAATTGCAAAATCTGGAAATGATCTGTGGAATATAATAACTATTTTCCTTCCTGCCTGAATGTCTGTGAAGTTTAGATGATTGCATCCAGTCCTTCCAATTCACATGCAGGTCTTTTAATCATGTCTCCTAGTAAATCTGGAATTGAGACTTCAGTCGTAGCTTGCGTTGGTCATTCTTCAGAGCTAATTCTAAAATCTCCTGCCAGATGGCTTAGATAGAAATACAGTTTTGCAGTGGGAGATTTTTGAGTCATCCTTTTTAACTTGAACTCGCTCTTAAACAATGCCATGAATCAGCCCCAATGGAGGAGGTGATGAGTGGATGCATGAGTAACTATGAATCATTACGGTAAACAGAAATACTAAGAATACCTGCTCATATTCATTGCAATGTTCCCTGGCACCTGGTAAAATAGATGCTCTGTCCTTGAGTTTGCCCTGTCTTTGCATACCACCCAGCAGGGAGTGTGAGGTGGTCACATCCTTTCTGTGAGTGTGCAGTGCAACCATGCAGGGTGCAGTAAAAGGAGACACATGCTGTAGCCAAATTTTGGAAAGGAAGCAAGTGTCATGTTCTTTGCCTGTCCATTGCCTTACTCGCAATAGCACAAGCTGAAAAAGGGCAGGATGTGAACAGCGCAGAGACGTGGGCTTCCAGGATGCCCTCAGAGAGCAAAGCCCTTTCCTTGACTTTGTCCTTCCTATGAGGCAAATGTACCTTTGATTCCAGTGTGGCCAGAGGCTGGCAGGGTCTCTCCTGCATGTTTTCCATTTCCATAGCTGGTTGTCATCCTAGATCCTTCTAGCTCCTGTCTACAGTGTCCATCTTCTATTTAGGGAGGCCTGAGCTGCGGTATGAGATAACTCACAAACTAATCTTGTTAAGGAAGTGAGGATCTTGAAAGAGTGAAGAGATCTAAAATATCTATTGGCAGATGGGACTTCATCGTGCTTGGGCCTATATTAAGGAACTAATATTTTTTTCTTTTTGTCTTCCAGTGAGCTCTAGTCTAAGGCACACTTCTGCTTGGCATGGACTTGCCTGTAACAGTCTTTTGGCTAATAGGCAGCTCGGCTTATGGGAGTGGGCTTGAATCCTTGCTTAGTAGCCATGTAGAGACAGTCTTTGTGTCCTCATTACTTCAACCTGCATTTTCCAGTGCTCTCTCTTGCTGCTTACCTACCCTGTATCATGCGTTTACAGGCACATCATACTTTAGACAACTTCCAGGAAGTTCCTTAAAGCAGCTTCCTCAAACACTGTTGTTGCTGATGTTCTGTTTCTTTCTTGGAAAGCCTGCCAAGCTGTGGCAATGGCGTTTCAAGACAAGATTGAAGAATTCAGACCATACATCCCCTTAATTCAAGGGCTGTGCAATCCTGGTATGAGAAACCGGCACTGGGAGGTGCTGTCAGAAGCTATTAACGTGGATATCAAGCTAGAACCCAGTCTGACAGTTGGTCGCTGCTTGGACTTGAGCCTGCTGGACCGTATCGAGAGCATTACCAAAGTAGCTGAGATAGCTGGCAAGGAATACGCCATTGAGAAAGCAAGGAAAGAGAGACTTGGTTGCTTCTCAAATACATTTGTGTTAGCAGGTAATTATTGCCTTGAGTGATGTTCCTGTTGCCCCAGAGCATTAGACGCAAGTAAAGTGGCAGCCTTTAGAGAGGGGAGCAGTAGCCACACAACTAAGTTCACACACTAGAAGAAGTAATTTTGCCTTGTGTAAAATCTACAGTTGTAGCATAACAGTGCTGCCTGATGGTTATGCTGCTCAACTGCTTGGGTCTCACACCTCACTGGGATTAATAACTGTTTAAGTTAAAATAAATTGATTGTCTGCATTCTGCCATTCAGATGTTATGTCAGGGAGATTAGGTGTGACTGGAAACGGAGGTGGCAAACCCTTTCACACAGTAAACATGTGCAGGGAAGACTTGCTGGCTCTGGAGATTCATAGGCTAGACAGTCTTTCAGCTTTGGTTCGCCAGTTTGGATGTGACCTAAGATGGTCTTGATTGAAAGTCATTACCTTCTGGCAGCTTTTGTTCTCTGACATCTCAGATGAGTTCCCAGTGGGTAGCTACCCCTTTCACAAAGCTGTTGTTAACCATAATCCTTAATAGGCACTTTGCTGGCAACCTCTGTGCATGCAGTGGAATAAATGGGCCTGGAGATGAAATTGCTCTTTTTTCTCCTCAAGGTGTTCCTTTCAGGACAGCGTTGAGGTGTTGAGTCCATGGGCAATGCAGAGGAAATGCTGTTGCAGAGCGTGTCACACATTAAATACACAGCTGCAGTTGCCAGTGGAATCCAAGGCCAAAATCTGTCACCTGCTAGAGAGGGACATTAAGGCAGTTGTGGAAGCTGGACAACCATTGCACAGGTTGTGTCTGAAAATTACGTTGCTTGTCCCTCTGTTCCAGGCACTCAACAAGATGGACAGTGAGTGGAACTCCGCTGTATTTGCTGTGACGCTTTACAAAGACAGCTGTACCTTCACTGTGAAAAACACCGATGAAGCTTCTCAGCTCCTAGATGATCACATTGGAATGGTTCAGAGCATGTCCTTCTCGCCATTCAAGAAACCTTGTGAGGAAAGGATGAACACATGGGAAAACAAGCTGAAGATGACACAGGTATTGGTTTCTTAACCGCACACGTGGTGCAGGCAGGCAGCTGGGCTTTGCTGCCATGCTTGAACATGGACACTCTAAAGTTGCTGCTAGGGAACTAGGAGGTCAACTGTCAAGAGAATATCAGTCGTTAGGGAGGATGAGGGCCTGTCAAAGCCCTCTGACTCCAGTAAGAGAGCGGATAAACTCAAAGCTTTATTCTGCAAACAGCAATGATGAAATACCAGCTCGTTTGCTGCCTATTGCAATTTTTTTGATGAGGCCAGGACTCTCCTGTTGCTGTGAATAGTCCTACTGGCATCTTTAATCATACCATACTAAGTGGACCTTACAGATTCTTACAGGCCCTGTGAAATCCATGCTTATCATTCACATCTCAGTGTAGGAAAGCGTGTGGAAGACTGCTGTTTAGAGCAGGATCTGGCAAACCTTGCCAACACTTCTTCATCAGACCAGAGCCTGAATGCACCCAGCAGGACTCAGACAGCAGAACAGTGTTTTGCTGCGGGAGAAAAATTCCACTGCAAGCATCTGGCTGGAGAACGCTGTGTAAATGCTGGTGTTTGATGCACAGCAGCACTGTTATCTTTTCTTCATAATTACTTTATTCTGTTCATTGGTGCTTACCATCTGGGTGTGCTTGGGCCATGGGCTGCCAGAGTGCTGGCTTTGCCTTATGAGGATATAGAAATGTTACTCTAAGCTCTAAGGCAGTAGGTGACTTGGGGAAGTTCAGTTATTTACTGTGTGTTTTGGCTGTGTTTTTGTCCATGTTTTCATGCTGCCCCTTCTCCCTCTTCTTTTGTTTGCTTTCATTCCTGCCACTGAAGAGCCATGAATTCCCTCTGAGAAGGGGCTTATCAGGGTTAGCTGGTGGAGTATGGCAAATGTCACTGTCTGTATTACTGGGAAATGGTAGATAGCACTGAAAGGGAGTGAATCACTTGAGCTGCTTTGCAGTGTTGGGCAGGTTCCCCATAGCTTCCAATCTCCCATGCCTAAAAATGAGGAGGAGGATGTTCTTCCAACCTAATTCTTGCTCATTTGAATGCCTGACAAGCAGGGTTTCCTATCTGATATATAACTTAAATGTTTAACTTTTCATTCATTCTCTTAATTCAGAGTGCTCTTCAAAGATCTTTTCATGGATTATTCTCCCAGGCTGGGGCTGCAGTATATCAGGCAGGACAGAGGTTATGACAGGTTTGCAGTCTGCATATTTTATTTCTCATTCTTCTTCCCCCCAGAAGCTCTTTTCACAAAATAAAATCCCCATCTTGCTGTGTGTTCACATAGCACTATCTTCTGTAAATTACAGAAAAACAAGCCACTGAAATTTGACCTAGCACCACAAAGTCCCTTTGAGCTTTACTATTGGCTTACACATAGATCTAAACTACCCTCTCTAAACTAGTGGGTGTTGGTTCTGATGTCTACTGACAACAGTCAGCAAACGAGGGGATGGTTACATTATTTCATCATTATTTGGGAAGGAGCTTCCAACTCCTGATGCTGCAGGTAGATTTTAGAATTGTTGAATTTTTTAAATTTTTTTTTTAAACCCACTCCAGTGCAGTTTGAATGGCTTTGTCAAACGGATTCATAGCATGGTGTCCTGATACGCCCTTCTTCCTTCCCATTAGGATGTCCTAGATGAATGGCTGAACTGCCAGCGGTCTTGGCTCTACTTGAAGCCCATCTTTAGGTCAGAGGACATCAAAAGACAGCTCCCATTGGAAAGCCAGCACTACCAGGCCATGGATAAGGACTGGAGTAACATCATGAAGAATGCTAATGAAAACCCTGAGGTGTGTGCCTTGATGAAAGCCAATGCAGGTATCCCAAATTCCCTGCAACTGTGCTTACACAAGGACTACCTTTGAGTTGTTGCTTTTGTAATGGTGTGGGCACGAGCAGCATTGTATAAATCATGGGACCTTGGCCAGGGTGATGTGCTATGTTTCTTCTCTTGGAACATGGCCTTTCATTCTGGTGTCCAAACAGAGTCATTCCTGCGATGCCTTGCACCAGGCTGTCCACACCACCAGATGCCTTCTTCTCACCACACAGACTCCCTACCTCCAATGACTCTTGAAACCAGCCCTGCTATAACCCTAATCCACAAGATATCTCCTTTGATTCCTCCTCAAGACTCTTTAAAAATTTTTAGAGCCATTGTTTGGCTCTTATGCTGCTGTTTGCCTGTTTCTGTGTTCTGGTAGCAGTGCTCTGTGATTCTCTGTTCTCTAGTCTCCACTTCCCAGGATTCCACCACTGCTTACATTCTGTATTACAAATGTTGGTATTTAGGGGAGCCCAGAAATGTGCTTGTCACATCCGTAAGCGCTGTTTCCCCTACTTGCCCACAAAGCTCACACCTCTCCAGATCCCTGTGAAAGTTCTCCTGTGAATGAGTCATTTCAATCCTATCATCACTGGGCAACCCAATTATCTCCACGGCCTTATCTTCCACATGCTCAAAATACGGATGCTTCCTCTGTTCTCTATCCTGTTTATAGGTGATTTCTTTGTGCCCTGATCCTACGCTACTAGAGAACCTGCGAAATGGTAACAGACTACTAGAACTTGTGCATAAAGGGCTGAGTGAATATCTGGAGACCAAGAGAGGTGCTTTTCCCAGGTAACCCCAAATTTCAGTGGGCTAGATCACACTCCCTGGTTCAGAAAATATGAAAGGAGAGGCTCACTTCAGTTCACTCTGCCAAGAAAGAGCAAAACAGTCTAAGCTTAGGATGTTGTCACAAGACTGGAACCATAAGCAAGGCTGTGCCTTTCAATGCTGCCATCTGATGGGGAGAAAACAGGCAGACACAAATGTTGTGAGTTAAGGGCAGTGTGGTAGCATCATTGCATATGTGTGTCTCATGATTGGCCTAGAAAGGATGGGGTAAAATGAAAACCTTTGTGTAATTCTGTCCCATATTCCTTAAGGAATACTTTGATTCTTTGATACTCATTTAAACCTGCTTTGCATGGGAATAACTGACTTCTGCAGATGAAGTCTGTCTCTACAGAAAGGTTCATGGCTGGCCCGTGGCTGCTACTCTCCTACACAAATACAAAGAGATCAGCGAGCAGTCAGAAACAGCGTCTCAAGCATTAGGCTTGTTCCTCATCTTGCCAGGACTGAGCCTCTGATGCTACAGTACAGAGAGCCTCCCCTTATGCCTCGCTCTGTGTTTCTAGGTTCTGCTTCCTTTCAGACGATGAGCTGCTGGAAATACTGTCTCAGACAAAAGACCCCACTGCTGTACAGCCTCATCTCTGAAAATGCTTTGAGAACATTGCAAAGGTAGGCAACATGGCTTGGCCCACCTTTGGGAACTTGGAGGCGTTCGGAGATCTGGAGAAGTGTTCACATTCTGCTGTGTGAAAATGTGTCTCCTGGGAACCTGTAACTGTACCATAGGCATTACAAGGTACTGCCTGCCCTGGAGTGGGATTCAAGCAACCCCACTTCAGACAGAAAGCCAGTGAACTGGGCATTCTCAATTGCCTTTTAGACAGTGAGGGGAAAATAGGAGTCTGCAAAAAGCAATTTACAGAAATTCACTTAGACACCCATCTTAGGAGAGGACGCTCCTTCTGGAGATGTCTGTCCATACCACTGTGGAGGCCAAGAGAAATAGCTCAGATTTAGCAGTCTAATCGCAGGCACCTCGTTAAGATGGAATCTTACTCTCGCTGACTGCCTCAGGAGGGACAAGGAGTAAACAAGCCTGAACTGAATTAAGTTTCTGCCTTCATCCCTGCTTAGGAGCTGGGGTTAACTCAGCGATTTTTCCCTCTTTATTATTCCTAATAGACTTCAAGCACCATGGCTAGTCACAGCTTGAACCACCACAATACTCAGACGCTAAAACCAATCTAGTCATTAGCTTGGGAAAATAGAAAGGAAATTGAACTGGAAACCTGGTACAAAGCCAGTGGAATTAATAACGGGACTTTCAGTGATATGCTGGGGCACTGGAGAAGCTGTTAAAATTTTACTTTTAAAACTAGGGACTGTGACCTCAAGGGAAATTATTTGAATCTACAGAACTGAACAGAAACCAAGGGTTTGAATCCTAGAAAGGCAATGAGAAATGCTCATCCTACCTATGATTTGATTTGCTTCACTCAAGTTAAACCACCAATGTGAATCTTATTTTCATACAATCATCCTCCCATTTTTGGAGAGGTCAGGTACACTTTGTTATCGCTATTAACAAACCAAGTTCACCACCAGATTTATAATGAGCATACACCACTACAGCCTGGCTGTCCCCAGGTGGCAGCAAGGCAGGGGTAGAAAGGAGGTCCTCCTGTTGCACTTCTTCCATTAGCTGCTGTTCCAGGAGGACCTACAGATCACACACATGTACTCTGCTGAAGGAGAAGAGGTGAAGCTGTTTGTTCCCATCTATCCCACTGACAATGTAGAGGACTGGCTGCTGGAAGTTGAGAAATGCATGAAAGCCAGTGGATGGGACAACATAGAAAGAGCAATTGCTGTTTATCCAGAGGTAAGAGTTTTATCACAGACTGGCAGGTCTCTGATATCTTGGTTCCAGGCTTGCCATAGAGGACAGCAGTGAAGGTACTGATCAATTTGTGATATTCTACTAGTTTTAAAACACAACCTTTGATCCAACTGTGTGTGTATGGAGTGCAGAATGGGCAGTTGAGCAAGCAGCTAATGGTCCAGAAGAATGCAAACCCACACTCACTTAACAGCTACAGAACACTTCCCAGTATCATAGGACAACCCTGCATGAACCTATTTCTATCTCTCTGTCCAGGCCACTTCCTCTTTATAGGGATCTAACCTCTTTGTCTTCTTCAGCTCTCCTGTCTTACACAGTGTGCTAGGGGCTGGTGAAGGCGACCAAGGCACTGTGGTTTCAATCAGGGGATGCATCTTGGCCCTGGTTTCAGTGTAAAACTGAAACTGGTAGAAAATCTTCATTCTTATTTGTTTGGGCCTAAGGAAGGAGAAAGGCTGAAAAAAAGACAAGGCCTCTGATATTTATGTTATTGTTTTCTAACCAGCCTGAAAATTTGAAACTTGGAAAGTTAGAACAGGCTAGAGGAGGGGAGAAACATTCTTTTAGGTCTCAAAGATTCATCTCAGAGCAAGGAGATGTAGAAATAAAAAAAAAATCATTGTCTTACCACCTTTTTTCCCCTCACTCCTCTTTTTAAGACTCCACGTACTACATGGGTCTTGCAATGGCCTGGGCAAGTGGTCATTGCTGGCTGCCAGGTTTTCTGGACAAAGGAAGTGTCTGAAGCTCTGGAAGCTGGAGATTTGTCCAGCAGGCTTTACCCATGGCTGAGTACTGGGATATGAAAACGATTGTAAGGGTGAGATTTTGCCAGATGGAGATTTTTCAATCATCTGACCTTAGATAACTTATAAATACATCCAGGACATTACTGTAGGAGAAACAGAGACTCAGTCCTGCATAGCACAGCTCAAAGCCATGTAAAAAATGAGGTTATCATTGTAATCATTAGGATATTTGTCATTAGACACCTCAAATAATGTACAGGACTGACAATATGATCGTTACCTGAAGACAGAAAAAAGAAATCAAAGATGGAGGAGACCTGAAGTGATGAACAGTAGAAATCAAGGTGAAACTGCATCCTTTGCGTCTGTTCCATGCATCTAATCAGACCTCATACCTAGAAGATATTATGTCCTCTGCTCTGGGCCTCCTGGTGACTCTTAACTCTTTCTTTTCATCTGAACTTGGTAATGCTGTAGGCAAAAGTCGGCTCTGAGCCAGCCTTGAGCAGTATTTGCTTTCTGAGCAGTCATTTTTATCTCTGACAGGAGAAGAGGCAGAAGTTGCCTGGACACAGCCTCTGATCTGGACTTAGCATGCCATAAGTTTGATTGCATTGTGTTAGTACAGCCTGGATCTTTGGGATATGGACTGCTTCAGAGTAGTTTCTTTTCCTTATCCAGCTGGGGGATTTGGTTGCCCTGGTCTATGGAAAGTTGTCTAAGATGCAGCGAGCAGTGTTGTCAGCTCTTACTGTGATTGAGGTCCACACCAAGGATGTTGCAGCAAAGCTGATTGAGGAGAATGTGACAAACATGAATGATTTCGAGTGGATCTCCCAGCTCAGGTGGAGACCCCAGCTGCTGAACCTCACCTGGCCTCTTTATTCTTACCCATCAGCTGTGTCCATGACAAATGGAAACAAGAGTTTGCTTAATGTGTAAGTAGTGTTCCTGAGTCACCTCTAACATCCCCATGATGAGTGGGCCTGAAGCCTGCTAAGGATGCCAGTTCTAAGGCATCCAAGACAGATGTAGTTTTGATGGCATCCACTTTGGAAATACAGAGTAAGCCATACCATGGTGTTTCACAGCCTCACTGTGAAAAGGGCATGTTCCTGTCCAAAGAGTGCAATGCTTGATGTAACACCTAATTCAGGTCCTGTGAGAACTCCTGCCCACTCTGTTGTGTTACCTTATTCTTCCTTCTCTTGAGACGGAAATCCCTTGACATGCAGGTCTCCAAACATGCAGGCTCCTGAGCCACTGTATTGTCTGCTAGCCAGTGTTTATCCTCCTGATGTCATGTTCACTTATCATTAGATACTACTGGACAAGGGGGGACCTGTACATCAGACCTGTCAATGCTGAATTTATCTGTGGCTATGAGTATCTGGGGAACAGTGGCTGTCTGGTTATCACGCCCCTCACTGACAGGTCAGGAGACTGTTTTCTGGGTATTAAGTGTATCTTTTTCTTTTTCTCTTTTTTTTTTCTGGATGAACAAACCTCATTGGGTATTAAACCAAGCACCTGACCATGCTGGTCTTACGGCTTAATGTATGTAAATAGAAACCATTTGTACAGTAAAGGACTACCTGAGATGAGGGCATAGGAACATTCTGGCATTGGTTCTTCTGTATTCCTAGTGATCAGTGCTCAGACTCATTGCTTTCACTCTCCTAATTCTTTAAGTAGTGCTCTGACTCATATAACATGCCCCTAGCTCTTCTACAAACCAGTAATAGGGGCATCTAATACTCTAGAATATGCATCAGCAATAATAGTTTTACCCTTTTGTAACTGTCCTTTTTCTGGAGAGTGAATTTGTAGCCAGTGACAGAAGGATTTATCCATGCAGGCTCCCATGAATACTAATCAAGGCCACATAGCTAACTTCTTTGCAGAGTGCCGCATATCTAAGCGATTCTGCAGAATAATAAAGGATGGATTCCTACCTGTTTCCAGCTGAATGGATCACATGTCTGCCATACTGAAATCGGTAGTAGAAATGTTTTTCATCATCTGCCCTTTTTGTCTCTCCTTTGTTGTAGGTTTTATCTGACACAGGAGCTCTGCACCTGAAATTTGGAGAAGCACCTGCAGGACCAGCAGGAGCAGGCAAAACAGAAACAACAAAAGACCTGGGGAAAGCACTAGCAATCCAAACTGTAGTGTTCAACTGCTCTGACCAGCTTGACTGTATGGCAATGGGGAAGTTTTTCAAAGGATTAGCCAGGTACAATGAAATGCTGTGTGTCATTATCAAGGAGTAGGTAGGATAGAGGGAATTGGTGGATATTTTTCATAGCAGCCCAGAAGAGCAAACAAAGCCCTATTAAGGGGGTTACTGTGTTCCAAAATACGCAGTTACAAAATTCCTGCCAGAAGGGAGGGACAGTTGAGCTAATTAAAGAAAAATGAGTAAAAAGAGATCCTGTTCATTTAAGGCAAAATATAAATGCACCAATCTGCTATTAGAAACCTGTGCAAATGTTTGCAGCTGTGGCCTTTGTTTTAATATCATCCATGTTGGACTGAGATTCAGCCCACAAGCTGCTTAAGCTTAAGAAGGAGAGAATCTGCTGAGTATATCCAAAAACTGAGCAGCCAAGAGAGACTGCTCTAAGCCCTGAGGAATCCTCTCAGAGAAGCTTGTCTCTTCTCTACATTTCAAATAATGCTGGTCTAATTAGTCTGTCGTGTGCTGGTGAATCTGAATTAGTCACTCCAACAAAAGCCGATACTCGTTTCTCAGATGTTTTCTTTGTATGTAATTTCACTTCTTTCTTAAACCATGCCTTGTGGGAAGATCTCTTTCCTCATATACAAGCTTCCAGCTTTATAGATAGTCCGGCAAGCTCTGAAAAATGGACTTAAGAGGTGTCTAAACTGTATCTGCTACACTTACAGGTCAGGTACAAAACAGGAATTCAACATAACACCTCTTTCAAGCCCAAATCTGTATCATGCAGAATCTGTGCTGTGCTGTAGGGTAGGACATTGCCATGGTCTTGCAGAGACAGTGCGCCTTCTCACTCATCACAGGGCCTGGGATGCATAGTCGGGCTGAGGGGCTACAGCCATTTGCACTGTACCGGTACACTCTGGCTGTGTTGCTACCTGATGGTGGGACGTTAAGGGCCTTTTTGCTTCACTTCTTGTTTCTGTGTTGCCTCCCCAGCATGTGCATGTATAATTTCTAGATCTAGCTGAACTCTTGACTGCAAGTTTGCTGCTGTGTGGTATTCCTGACTCCCCTCATTTCTCTTTCCTTGTTCAGCTCTGGCGCATGGGCTTGCTTTGACGAGTTCAACCGCATTGATACTGAGGTGCTGTCTGTGGTGGCCCAGCAGATCACAACCATTCAGAAAGCACAGCAGCAGAGGGTATGTAATGCGGACACAAAGGCAGACCAAAAAATCTCCACCTGAGCTAGTCTAGGCTAGTCCTTGACTTTGCATGTCCCTTCATGGAGGACCAGCTTCACTGCTCAGGGGCCACTCAGACAGACACACTTGAGCTTGGAGAGGCATGAATAATACCCTAGCTGTGACGCATCATATCTGGCCGTTACACAGCATCCTGAGTGGGCTTTGAAACCTTACCCTAGTCTATGCTGCCACAGTTGCCCACAGTCTCACAGGCTGAAATACATCTCAGCTTGAGCTGCAGTGCCAACAAACTTTGCTGTGGGAAATGCTCCAATACAGATCCACTGAGCTGATACAAATTGAAGCTCTAGTAAATGCAGCCAGTGTTCTGCCATGAGGTGCTCAGCACCACATTTGTCTCAATATGTTATCCAAGCTTTAGTGGATTCACAAAACCCAATATGTGCAGAAAAATGCATACTCATGCACACACAGAGTTGCAACTTGAAGTGAATTCTTGGCTTTACGTGGAGGCTCAGCTGTCAGCCAGACTAGCAGCCAGCCTCTGCTTTTTTCTCTGGAGACTCAGAGGGGTTAAGACCTGAATCTCCTTGACTTTGGCTTGGAATTAGAAACTTGCTCTCTGTGAATTCTTCTGCATTACTTTATCCCCCATCTCAAATTACTACCTATGCAGCTTTAAAAAGGATTTAGGTTTCTCTTTGCCCTCTCTGCCACGAATTAATTCAAGTTGAAACTCTACTGCAGAATAAATGAAAAAATGTTTGTTTACAGCTGCAAGGATAAAAGTCTGTTTAAGAGCCAAAAAAAAAAAAAAGTAACTTGTCAGTAAATTTTCCATGAGCCCAGTTTCTTAAACAGGGAAAAATATTGCTGGTAATACTGGATTCCTGCAGTGGGACCAGATTGAGTCACTACAGTTGTGAGCAGCTGTGTGTGTCCATGCTTGATAATTTAACTACTGAAAGCCATTGTTTTCCTCTTGGAAGATTCTGCTGTATTATTTAATTTGCGGGTCAGGCTCTTCTTTGAGGATGATCACATTTCTAATATTCTAGGTGGTTTGCTTCGTGTTTGAAGGCACTGAGATCCCACTGGTCCCATCCTGCGCAGTCTTTATCACTATGAACCCAGGATATGCTGGGCGTCCTGAACTGCCCGATAACCTGAAGGTAAGGAGGGCAGACTGCACAGACAGAAAGTAGAGGGGCAATACAGGTGCTGGATGCTACCCAGACCACCAGCAGGATTAGTATGTCATCCTTTTGGAAAGTTTCTAGGATTATTTTGAGATTTGAACAGTCTGCAGGGATGCTACACTGGCAGGTGCCAGGCACACTCATGCTGTGTCCTCTAAACAGCCTCGGGTAAATACTCAGCCTTTTCAGTTTGCTGGGAAAAACCAAGAAACAACTGTGTTTTGATCTTGCGTTGGAACTGTATGTTTCAGGCTCTCTTTCATCCTGTGGCTATGATGGTCCCAGATTACTCCATGATTGCCGAGATCTCACTCTATTCCTTTGGGTTTAACGAAGCCAAAGTACTTGCAAAGAAGATCACCACAACATTCAAACTATTGTCAGAGCAGCTCAGCAGCCAGGTAGATGCTTTAATGTCCATGAACAGTTTTTAAATGTGAGGCTTTCTCAGCCTAGGTGCAAAGTACTTGGATGGTTCTCTTGGTGATAGCATATCACAAAAAAGTCACAGTACACAAAAAAGGTCTTCATCTATCCTTCTTCCTAATTCTCATTTCTCCTCCTGTGACTGGACTTTCATTGACCTTCAGTCCTGGTTAGGATTACAATGACAGGATGGTTGAGCCAAGCAGCCCTGCCTACTTCACCCTCCACCTAGGATTTTTTATCATCCACTTATTCTCATCTTCCTCACCTGTAGTCTGTACGGCTGAGGACTAGTTAGTTGTTGGAAGGATCCCTAGAGCAGACTTGGATGAAAAAGCAGTTGTTCTGAAGGCATAACTCTCATTTTTCTCTTCTTACCTGCTAACTGAGTGCATGTATAGGTTCGCTCTTTTTCAGGTGATGCTCCTGTATCTGATGACATTGTCTCCTCTATGCCTTTTCCAGGACCACTGTGACTTTGGGATGAGAGCTGTAAAGACTGTCATCTCAACAGCTGGCAACCTCAAAAGAGAGAATCCTACTATGGATGAGGTAAGCTTGTTCATACTTCACATTGTCGTAGACTTATGTGGCCTTTTCTGCAGCCGCATAAGAGAGGCAGATTCTTTGAAGTTCTGAGTTCTTAAGTCATTGCAGGACCTGATCTGCCTTCAGGCTATCAGGGATGCCAACCTACCCAAATTCCTGCAGGATGACCTAAAGCTCTTCAGTGGTGTTGTCTCAGATTTATTTCCGAATATCAAAGAAAAGCCTGTTGATCATGGCATTCTGGAAGAAGCTATTTGCAAATCCTGCATCAAACTGAATGTGAAGGATGTTAATGGTGAGGGGAAAGGCTCTCTGCAAGCTCCCTCTGGGCCTGGGCTTTGAGTCCAGTGCCCTGCCCTAGCAGAGAGGCAGCTGGTCTCAGATCCGCTCCTTATCATCTTCCTCTACAGGTTTTGTGATGAAGTGCATCCAGCTCTATGAAACCATCGTGGTTCATCATGGCCTTATGCTAGTGGGACCAACAGGCTCTGGGAAGACAAAGGTATGGTTGAGACACTGTGCTGTTCCCAGCAAACCATCACATGCCTAATGATACAGAGGGTTAAGCTTCACAAAAAATGCACACTCTGCCATTTCCAGCTTCTCTCAGATGATGGAAATCAGGAGACCAAGATGCTGCCTTTTACTATTGATTTGTAGCCATGGGGAAGTATATTAGTAGCTCACTCCTTCGAGCTGGGAGATTAGACTGAGGCTTATTAGAGCTGCTGCAAATCTCTAAGGCTGAGACATATTTTGATATCTTGAGACACTTCAGGCCCCTTGCACAGGGGATCTAACTTCCTCTCCCTGCATCTGGAATGCTTTGGTTTTGTGAATACAGCGAGGCATCTCCTTGCTATGATACTATCCTTCACTATGCCTCCTTACTGCCTTTTGAATGCAGTTGCTGTGACAGCAAGTGGCTGTGTCGTTACGGAGCCATGGCAGTTAACTCTCCTGCTCTCCTGCTTTTGCAGAGTTATGAAGTTCTGGCAGCTGCAATAACGTCACTGAAAGGGCAGCCTGCGGCCAGCGGTGGGGATTACGAAGCAGTCAGCTACTTTGTACTGAATCCCAAATCCATCACAATGGGGCAGCTTTATGGAGAATTCAACTTGCTAACGCATGAGTGGCAAAGTATAAAACCTGCTTTCCTTCTTTCCAGATGGGAAATGTTTTTCTTCTGGTGTTGAGCGTCTTCTGTTTAAGGCTGAGAACTGTTTAGGGTAGTGGCATTAAAACCAGAAGCAATCGAGTCCTTATCCTTACCAAGCTACAGTAGCCACTCACAGCAATTTAAGCTGACATCTTTTATTGTGCGCTTGGCCCCACTGCCAGCACATCTCAGACAGTTACTGCAGCTCAGCTGGCAGCATTAACTGCGGAACAAGGAAAATTCAACTTCTTTGGATGGCACGCCCCGCTCTAAGATACAGCGGCTTAAAAGCACGTGCTTTGCTTCTGAAGAAAGGTGACCTGTGTACTGCACACTTGAATTGTTCTGTATAAATACACTGGTGGCCTTGAGTGATGAGGGATAACTTTCAGGCATAAAGGGGCATTTCATTCCTGTTATCAGGGCTTCTGCTTGCTTACATGGTTTGGAAGAGAGAACCAATGGCCCATTTGCCCTCTTGACAGCCAGGTCCTACTGCTTATGTTTCCATATGTGGCCTGAGGTTGACTTTGCAGCTCACTTTATCCAGAAGGGAAGGTGTGAGAGGCAGTGTGAATGTCCCTTTGGCCTTGTCACCCACCACTTGCTTAGGGACAAAGCTAAAGACTGTGTTCTGTAAAACAAGGGAAACTAAATAAATATGAAACTAACTGCCTCTAGGAAAAATGCAAGCAAGTAAACATTACTGATGCTGAGACACAGAGCTTCCCAACCTGGGCTCTGTTGCATCTTTAGTGAAGGACATTTTATAGGATATTTCAGTTAAGCTCGACTGTTTATTTATGATGTGACTCTACCCAAGGGCAGCACACAGGCACGTCAACATGACAAAAAGAAAAATACAGCAGCCGTGTAAATTGTATTTACAGACAAATCCATCTGTTTTAATCAGTTGAGCTTTAGAACAGACTGTTTTCCCTTGATGGCAGTAACAATACCCTGGAATTCACTCGCACTATAAAAATAACAAATAATTATTTAATAATAGGAGTAGAATTCGGGGCCTGAATAGAAATTGCACTCCAGGTTTCCATGTACAGATTAAGTTCTTCCTGTCAACAGTCAGCATTCCTTGTGTCTGCATTCCTGTTCACCAGTTCCAGCTCTACCAGGGTTCACAGGCAGCTGAGGATGGGTAACTTCAGTTATAAAAAGAGTAGAGTCATACTCTTTAGCCTGGATTCACCCTCCCAACCTATAGTTACCCAACTGAAATACCTGAATTAGCACAGTAGCTGTCCTGAATCTCCCTTTACACTCGGTGGAAAAAAAGAGGCACCTCCAGAGAGCAGATAACCCCACTATGACCTGAATGGATGCTAGTAAGGCCTCTTTGCTTTTCACTGAGGACAGAGATGTGAAAGGGAAACTTGGCATTTTATAGTTAAATGACATGAAATCCAGACCTTAATGCCCAAAGGAATTGTCTCATAGCACCACTCAGGCTGAGATGTTTGTCTCAGTAAAAGAAAGAATGAGATGGATCTTTATACAGCTCATCAACAGGTGAGGCACAGGCATCTTTGGGCACACGAACCAGAGTAAGATTCTGGCTCTGTTGCCTTATATGGTGGAAGCTTTGCCATTGATTTCAGCAAAAGCAGAATGGGTCAAGCCCTGCCTTCCTCCCACCATTCAGGACAGATGGGATCCTTTCCTCACTCATCTGGCAGGGAGCTGCAGCCACTGACACCACCAAGAAGTGGTACATATTTGATGGGCCAGTTGATGCTCTGTGGATTGAGAACGTGAACACAGTGCTGGATGACAATAAGAAACTGTGTCTCAGCTCAGGGGAAATCATCAGGCTGGCAGAGGTAACTCATCCCTCATGCTTTTGCTGACTGTTGTCTGTTTTCCTTCCTCCTTCTTGGAACAGATTTGCCTTTTACTTTCCACTTGATGTCTGTGATGGACTTGTATGGAAATTGGTGTCTCAGTAGCAGCCCTGTGTTGGCCAAACCTCTGCTGTGCTGCACAAACAACAAAAAGAGGGCTTCTCTAACAAATTACGCTGAAAGAGATATCAGAAGTGATCAAATCCTTATCCTGTGTTCTCACATTTTGCCATTTCCAGAGCATGACCATGATGTTTGAAGGGCAGGATGTGGCTGTTGCTTCCCCTGCCACAGTCTCCTGCTGTGGCATGGTTTACCTGGAACCCAGCCTCTTGGGGCTGGAGCCCTTCCTTGAATGTTGGCTGCAAGGAATCCCAGGCATCATGCAGCCCTTCTCACAGCAGGAGAGAGATTCCTCAAGGTGAGCTACCACGCCATTCTAACCCTCCCATGGCTTGGACGTTGTCAGCTCAGATATCAACCAGTCCAGATTTGTCAAGGCCTGGGTTTAAATGCCATTGTGGGAACACTTCAGACTACCAGTATGGGAACATGTCTGTGAATTTCCTGGATTTAATAGAGGTTATTCACTGATCCCTAGAGATGTGACTTAGTCTTACTGGTCATTTTAGTTTGTTTTATTTCCTTTCAAAATTATCTTCTGGATGAAATTATCCCTTGTACAGCTCCATTGCTTACAGTGGAGTTACTCCAGGGAGAAACTTGTTAAGAACAAGTCTTGTTATTTCTACTCTTCTCCTGAGCCACTGTTTTAATGAGTAACCCAGAGCTGCGAAGGAAACGTCTGAAGGGAGCAAACCATTTAACAGCAGTGATGGCACAAGAACAGAACCAAAAGGCAGGCCCAGAGGTTTCTTGTGGCTAAGACTGAACCAAGAGGTTTGATTTACTTTTCTCAGTGATACTCAGGACGCAGCGGGAAATGGCAGCATTCTCAGTCATACCCTCCTTGCTAAATGTTGTGTGCAGGGAGGTGAGGAGAAACCAAAACCCTGGAAGGTAAAAGCAAATTCAAGTGTGTTGGATGGTGACAATGAGCTCTTCCTGCCTCTCCTTACAGGAGGCCATTGGGTTTGTCCAGAGGTTTGTGAAGGAGATAGTTACCTCAACAGACAGTAACCTCACAGGGAGCCTCCTCATACTCTTGGAATGTTTGTTTCAGCCTTACGTTCCCGTTGAGGTAGGATTTTGCTGCTGTTGCTTGTGTGCGCCTGTAACTCTTCAGGGAACTAAGTCATGCGGAGGGTTAGTCACCAGAGAACAAAGTGTTGGTGCAGAAAAGTCACACTGGAGCTCATCTGTGTGGCAGAAGGCAATACAACATCTTGCAAAGCACAGGTAAGCCTGGAAAGATTATACTTTTGACCACTGAAAGAGCGAGAGATACACCCCATGCCTACTGAGCTGGAGGGAAGAGGTCCACTTTTATTTATAGCAGAGGGAATTGGAGAATGAGTGGAAAGCAGAGATCAGAGCTGAGCAGCAATGCATTTCAGGTTGCAGATCCTTTGTGAATTAGTACTGAAGAAGACTGAACAGTTTTCAAATTAAAACCAAAATATTAAATTCTTCTCCCAGTTCCTGTTGAGTGACATTATTTTAGCAAGGGGAGTCTCTCAAGTACACCAATGAGACAGCAAGTTTTAATCCACAGAATGCATTAACAAGGCCTGTGAAAAACTGGCTAGAAAAAGCTACTTAGAGGCTGAATAAAATTATGAGCACATTAAGAAGAATCTGGGTTTTGTGTACCTTAAGCATACCTGAGAATTTTACTTCTGCTCTTCTCTGGTTGTCAGGGAACTAGGACGACTTCCCAGGAGAAGGCAGCTTGTATTGGAGAACTGATTGAACCCTGGTTTATATTTGCCTTGACCTGGAGTGTGGGTGCTACTGGAGATTCCCAAGGGCGCACGGCATTTAGCTTGTCGTTGAGGGAGATGGCAAAGGAGAAGGTGAGTAAAGGAAAAGCAGATCCTGTCTCATTATAGAGGAACTGATCATGAGGAATGGGGTCAGAGCTTCTTGAATGCCTGGAGGCTTTGATTGGGCTTCCTCTTGGGATCAGGTATACCAGATCTGCTTCAGACTTCAAGGGACCCTTGGAGCTGGAAGATCTAGGAGAGAGACCTGACCCCTCTGGCCTGGGCAGCATCCCATTAGTAAAGTTTTCCTTGCAGTAGCCAGGTTGACCCCACCTTTATTCCCACAGATCCAGTTACTTTTCCCAGAAGAAGGACTGGTTCATGACTGTAAGCTGTGTGAGGCTGGGCTTAGCAGTGCTGAAGATGATCTGGATGAGGAGGCCATTAGGAAGGTAAAACATTTTACTTTCAACTCCAGGCTGGGAAATTTGGGGAGAGGGACCAGGAAGCAGGACAGTCCTCATGGATTTGGTAGGGTTTTCTCATCAAGGGCAAATAAGAAGGAGGAGGAGCAAGGCAGATGAATATACCATCTTTTTCACAGGAGACAGCAGAGCATTGGGGGATGCAAGGCTCATCTGACTGACTTTTATGACGAGGTGACCTGCTTGGTGGA